CCTTTGCAGGACTGTTATTCCCTCCACGAACTGGATCGTGGACAGAAACATGGTCATAGTTGTTAGGATTTGCAGTCGATTTTCCAGCTCCCCTGTTGAAGCGGGATGAAGAAAACAAACGCAGCTGTTCCACCCGGCCACGGTGCCGTTTGAGCAGACATAGATATTTTTATTTTGGCCCCTGATCTTTTGAATTCTAACAATTGGATCCCTGAATAATTAAAAATTTCTTTTAATTTTACCATTGGATTAATTTCCACTGAATCCCTAAATTATAACACTGTTTACAAAACAATCTTTAATTTCTAAATTGTTCAATCTGGTCTTTAATTTATAATTTTTCCATTAAATCCGTGAATTTTTTAATTAATTAAATCAAAGTTTAATTAAGTCATAAACATATTAATTCTTTATTTAAACCCCTGATTTTATTAATTAAACTAATTCAAAATTTAATTAAATTCTCAAGTTTATTAATTCTTCAATTATTGACCAATTAACTCTCAAATTTAATAATTCCATCCTCAAACTTTAAATTTTATATTGTCTCAATCCCATTCTAAAATATAATTTTACCCATTCATTTTTTTATAATTAATTCAAAAATTAGGTTATGACAGTTGTCTCCTCTTTATAATATTTACGATACAAAGTCATTGAAAAATTATTTTCTTTTTGGCTTTGCGTAATAGATTTATAAAGAAAAGTAGAAAAAAAATGAAGTTTTGCTTTTCTGAGAGTCTTGAAAACTTTAAAAATAGTAGATTAACAAATAACCTTTACAGAGAAAACAAGTCATTTGGAAGATGGCTCAATTTTTTTAGTTTTTTTTTTTTTAAAAAATGGATCAAATTGTTTTGGGCAACCTGCCCGATAATAAAAGAAACGCGAAGAATTTTGCGAGTGGTCTAATTGTTCCAGGTGACCTGCCCGATGAAGAATAAAACACGAAAGGGTTTCGCGAGTGGTCTAATTGTTCCAAACGACCTGCTTGATGATTGAAAAATACGAGGATTTTTTAGGATGATCACATTGTAATGGGTTACCTGTCCAGATGATCACATTGTAATAGGTTACCTATCTAGTAGAAAAATACGATGATTTTTCAAGATGGTCACATTGTAATGGGTTACCTGCCTAGTGGAAAAATACGAGGATTTTTCAAGATGATATATTGTAATGGATTACGTACCCAGATGGTCACATTGTAATGGGTTACCTGCCTAGTGGAAAAATATGAGGATTTTTCAGGATGGTATATTATAATGGATTACCTGCCTAGATAATCACATTGTAATGGGTTACCTTTCTAGTGGAAAAATATACAAGGATTTTTCAGGATGGTATATTGTAACGGGTTACTTACCTACTTACTCACATTGTAATGGGTTACCTGTCCAGTGAAAAAAATACGAGGATTTTTTTTTTAAAAAAGACAAGATAGGGGTCAAAGGCGCACTATTCAATAGATGGAAGCTTAAAGGAAATGAGGGCTCAGAGGTAGGGTAGGAAACACACTACCTTTGGTGGTCGAGGGCTTGAAGGCGCGCTCGAAATGAAATAAGGTGAGGGCTCGAGGGTGCACTCAAAAGGAGGTAGGGTAGGAAACGCACCACCTTTGATGGTCGAGGACTTAAAGGCATACTCGAAAAGAAATGAGGTGAGGACTCGAAGGCACACTCAAAAGGAGGTAGGATAGAAAATGCACTACCTTTGATGGTCGAGGGCTCGAAGGCACGCTAAAAAAAAAAATAAGACGAGGGCTCGAAGGCGCACTCAAAAGGAGGTAGGATAGGAAATGCACTACCTTTGATGATCGAGAGCTCAAAGGCATGCTCTAAAAGAAATGAGGTGAGGGCTCAAAGGCACACTCAAAAGGAGGTAGGGTAAGAAACGCACTACCTTTGATGGTCGAGGGATCGAAAGTGCACTCGAAAGAAGGTAGGATAGGAAATGCACTACCTTTGATGGTCGAGGGCTCAAAAGTGCACTCGAAAAGAAATGAAGTGAAGGCTCAAAGACACACTCAAAAGGAGGTAGAGTAGGAAATGCACTACCTTTGATGATCGAGGGTTCGAAGGCGCACTCGAAAGAAGGTAGGATAGGAAATGCACTACCTTTGATGGTTAAAGGCTTGAAGGCGCACTTGAAAAGAAATGAGGTGAGGGCTCAAAAACGCACTCAAAAGGAGGTAGGGTAGGAAACGTACTGCCTTTGATGGTCGAGGGCTCGAAGACGCACTTGAAAAGAAATGAAGTGAAGGCTCGAAGGCACACTCAAAAGGAGGTAAAGTAGGAAACACACTACCTTTGAAATGGAAAATGAAAGGTGGTAAAAAAATACAGGGATTTTTTAGTTGGCCTAATTCTCATGGGTGGCTTATCAAGGTTGAAAAATTCTTAAAAGCAAAAAATTTTAAAAGCAATTTCAATGTTCGCCATTTCAAGTTGGCCTTCCACTTGATGAATTCCGTTAGAATTTTCTTTTATGAAATTTGCAAAACTTATTGTATAATGTCTCAAAGTTTAAATGATATGCATGCATCTTTACGTGATTTGAAATATAAGCCCCCCCATTTCTTCTTAGTCTTCTTGTTACTTGGTTGGTGAGATCTTGTCATCTTTATTGTTTAGCTTTCTAGCCCACTCGAGTTAGCCCATGTAAATCTTTTTCTAGATTTGTTTGCACAACTCCACCTTTATGGTGCTCATCGTGACCTACTTGATTGCTAAAGATTTTCTGACTCGTCAAATAATTTGAGAGGATCATTCATTGCTCCTCGTCTCACTGCTAAAAACATTCGATGTCACTAACTGAAAGGATCAAGCTGTCTTTTATAAACCAAAATGCCCCCTTATCTTGTTGAAGGAAATTAACATCTCCTTTTCTAGATTTTTTTCTTTTAAACACAATGTTGCCCTCTTGTATTGGTCATTGCCCCTCTGTGGCTCTGTCAGCGACTTGGATAAATAATGGTTTTAAGAGGCCATTTTCTCATTTCTATCCTTTTTCAATTTAGTGAAGAAATATAGGTCTAGAATGAATCTTGAAATCT